ACCAACATGACGACGACTGAGTGTTGCGACGAGGACAACTGCTATTTCTACATCGAAACGGATATTGCGGAGACCAACATCACGGTTTGGAACGACTACATTTCATCGCCTGGATATGAAGAGGTTTCGTTCTACTATCGGTCCGCGATGGTACAAGGCTGGAACAAATTTTGCATCCAAGGAGAATTAGCTGTGGTTCGTGCTCAGCTTCCAGGCGCTGTGTCGAATGTTTCAGGTAATCCTGACGTTGCCAATCTCTCCATGACAGCAAGGGCTTCCAGTATCGACTACTACCCCATGTGGCCAGGTACTTGGATGCTTGGGGATTTAGGACGAGCGATCTTCACTGGTTCGACAGCCCGTATGTGGCCATTCTCGTACAATGAATGCAACGAGACCATATTCAACTCTCAAAACCAAAGAATGAATGCCTACACTGGAGCCTACCTTTCTAACGCAGAAAATACCGATCCTGAATGTACTGAATCTGGTGGATCTACTAGCACAGCATCGACTTTCACTTACCAAATGGATGCGTTATCTTCAAATTGGGGCATTCACATGGCAGGATATCTCGATTTGGTGACGTACTCTGTGGAGTGGGTGCCTGGAGATAACGAGAAGTCGAAGGCCAGCCTATCTATGAGATCACCGCTGACGTTGTCACGAATTCACCACAGAATGCAGCTCAAATGAACCCTAGGAAAGTCATGGTTGAAAAACCCATGTACTTTATCTTCAACGTTGCGATGTCGAGTTCGTGGGGAGCTAAACCTCCAAATGCTGGTACATTGGGTTGCTATGGCGATGGGATCGACGCAATCTGTGATGCCTTACCAATGAAGATGAAAGTTGACTACATTCGGGTGTACCAAGACACTTCGAGTATGGTCTACGGATGTGATCCATCGTCGCACCCTACTAAACAGAAGAGCACATTAACCTATACGAGGATGACGACAATGTATAGGTAGAAGTTGCAGGGAAGGCATCTTGCAAATCGGACGACGATTGTACGATAGATTCTTCGTCTGTGAAAACTGGACATTGTTCCAACGGAAGATGCGAATGCACCACTGAAGCTTAGATTGGGCCGCGGTGCACTGATACTGCTAGTACTGACAGTGGTGGCGGCGAATATGGCCCCTTCATGCCGGTGGCGATTGTAGTTGCAGCAGTCTTTTTTTGTTTTTACTCTCGGAAATATTCTGTTCACAGTTGTCAAGACCAAAAGGGCAAGCGAGACGAGACGCAAAATGAGCGTATCAAAAATTGAGCCGAAACGAGTGACTGACGTTGCTGATGAACGTGGATCTGGACCGCAAATAATCGCGTACAGCACGAACTTCGTCTAACTCGAAAGCTTACCTGGAGTAAGATCATACAGATAACTCTCCTTTTTCGATGGGTGTGCGGTAGCATATGCACCAAGGAAGTACTTTCTTGTTGCAACTGCTTCTGGAAACTTACGAAGTGAGCGCTTGATAAAAATAAATGACGTTCGATCTGGATTGTTAAATCGTACTCGTTTTTTGTACAAATGACATTTCGTTTGTATGAAACA